CTCACGAGTTGGCAATCCAAGAGGAATTGGCTAAAGAAATTTCAAAACCCTCTGGTGAAATCAGCTTGAAAACTAAAAACCATCTGGAAAGGTTAAAGAGCCACTATAAAGCAGTACAGAAAGGTCAATGGCTTGGAAAACATCCAACAGGAGAAGACGTATTTCTTAGGCTCCTAACAAAAAGACGAGGATTTGCAATAACCACTGGGAAAAATGCAAGAGAACAAATCAAACCTACTTCAAGTAAAAGCCCTCTGGAACGATTAAAGAGCAATCAGGAAACATTACAGAAACCCATTGGCTTGGAAAAAATCCGAGGGAAGAAGTCCTATTTTTTAGGTTATTAACAAAAAGGCGAGGATTTGCAACAACCACTGGAAATCCTGAGGGAGAGCAAGGGAAACTTGCTTCCGTTACATTGGCTGAAAAATGGAGGAAGTGGGCAGGTGGACTAGTGCTTCTACAGGAAAAGAGGTGGCTACAGGTGGCTCTCAAAGCAAAAAAAATGCAGATTATGAAGAGAAAACTCACGAGTTGGCAATCCAAGAGGAATTGGCTAAAGAAATTTCAAAACACTCTGGTGAAATCAGCTTGAAAACTAAAAACCATCTGGAAAGGTTAAAGAGTCACTATGAAGCAGTACAGAAAGGTCAATGGCTTCGAAAACATCCAACAGGAGAAGACTTATTTCTTAGGCTCCTAACAAAAAGACGAGGATTTGCAAAAACCACTGGGAAAAATGCAAGAGAATAAATCAAACCTACTTCAAGTAAAAGCCCTCTGGAACGATTAAAGAGCAATCAGGAAACATTACAGAGAGACCATTGGCTTGGAAAAAATCCGAGGGAAGAAGTCCTATTTTTTAGGTTATTGACAAAAAGGCGAGGATTTGCAACAAACACTGGAAAATCTGTGGGAGAGCAAGGGAAACTTGCTTCAGTTACAGTGGCTGAAAAATGGAGGAAGTGGGCAGGGGGACTAGTGCCTCTAAAGGAAAAGAGGTGGCTACAGGTGGCTCCCAAAGCAAAAAATGCAGACTATGAAGAGAAAACTCACGAGTTGGCAATCCAAGAGGAATTGGCTAAAGAAATTTCAAAACCCTCTGGTGAAATCAGCTTGAAAACTAAAAACCATCTGGAAAGGTTAAAGAGGCACTATAAAGCAGTACAGAAAGGTCAATGGTTTGGAAAACATCCAACAGGAGAAGACGTATTTCTTAGGCTCCTAACAAAAAGACGAGGATTTGCAAAAACCACTGGGAAAAATGCAAGAGAAAAAATCAAACCTACTTCAAGTAAAAGCCCTCTGGAACGATTAAAGAGCAATCAGGAAACATTACAGAGAGACCATTGGCTTGGAAAAAATCCGAGGGAAGAAGTCCTATTTTTTAGGTTATTAACAAAAAGGCGAGGATTTGCAACAACCACTGGAAATCCTGAGGGAGAGCAAGGGAAAGTTGCTTCAGTTACAGTGGCTGAAAAATGGAGGAAGTGGGCAGGGGGACTAGTGCCTCTAAAGGAAAAGAGGTGGCTACAGGTGGCTCCCAAAGCAAAAAAATGCAGACTATGAAGAGAAAACTCATGAGTTGGCAATCCAAGAGGAATTGGCTAAAGAAATTTCAAAACCCTCATGTGAAATCAGCTTGAAAACTAAAAACCATCTGGAAAGGTTAAAGAGCCACTATAAAGCAGTACAGAAAGGTCAATGGCTTGGAAAACATCCAACAGGAGAAGACATATTTCTTAGGCTCCTAACAAAAAGACGAGGATTTGCAATAACCACTGGGAAAAATGCAAGAGAACAAATCAAACCTACTTCAAGTAAAAGCCCTCTGGAACGATTAAAGAGCAATCAGGAAACATTACAGAGAGACCATTGGCTTGGAAAAAATCCGAGGGAAGAAGTCCTATTTTTAGGTTATTAACAAAAAGGCGAGGATTTGCAACAACCACTGGAAATTCTGAGGGAGGAAAGGGAAACTTGCTTCAGTTACAGTGGCTGAAAAATGGAGGAAGTGGGCAGGGGGACTAGTGCCTCTAAAGGAAAAGAGGTGGCTACAGGTGGCTCCCAAAGCAAAAAATGCAGAATATGAAGAGAAAACTCACGAGTTGGCAATCCAAGAGGAATTGGCTAAAGAAATTTCAAAACCCTCTGGTGAAATCAGCTTGAAAACTAAAAACCATCTGGAAAGGTTAAAGAGCCACTATAAAGCAGTACAGAAAGGTCAATGGCTTGGAAAACATCCAACAGGAGAAGACGTATTTCTTAGGCTCCTAACAAAAAGACGAGGATTTGCAAAAACCACTGGGAAAAATGCAAGAGAACAAATCAAACCTACTTCAAGTAAAAGCCCTCTGGAACGATTAAAGAGCAATCAGGAAACATTACAGAGAGACCATTGGCTTGGAAAAAATCCGAGGGAAGAAGTCCTATTTTTTAGGTTATTAACAAAAAGGCGAGGATTTGCAACAACCACTGGAAATCCTGAGGGAGAGCAAGGGAAACTTGCTTCAGTTACAGTGGCTGAAAAATGGAGGAAGTGGGCAGGGGGACTAGTGCCTCTAAAGGAAAAGAGGTGGCTACAGGTGGCTCCCAAAGCAAAAAATGCAGACTATGAAGAGAAAACTCACGAGTTGGCAATCCAAGAGGAATTGGCTAAAGAAATTTCAAAACCCTCTGGTGAAATCAGCTTGAAAACTAAAAACCATCTGGAAAGGTTAAAGAGCCACTATAAAGCAGTACAGAAAGGTCAATGGCTTGGAAAACATCCAACAGGAGAAGACGTATTTCTTAGGCTCCTAACAAAAAGACGAGGATTTGCAAAAACCACTGGGAAAAAAGCAAGAGAACAAATCAAACCTACTTCAAGTAAAAGCCCTCTGGAACGATTAAAGAGCAATCAGGAAACATTACAGAGAGACCATTGGCTTGGAAAAAATCCGAGGGAAGAAGTCCTATTTTTTAGGATATTAACAAAAAGGCGAGGATTTGCAACAAACACTGGAAAATCTGTGGGAGAGCAAGGGAAACTTGCTTCAGTTACAGTGGCTGAAAAATGGAGGAAGTGGGCAGGGAGACTAGTGCCTCTAAAGGAAAAGAGGTGGCTACAGGTGGCTCCCAAAGCAAAAAATGCAGAATATGAAGAGAAAACTCACGAGCTGGCAATCCAAGAGGAATTGGCTAAAGAAATTTCAAAACCCTCTGGTGAAATCAGCTTGAAAACTAAAAACCATCTGGAAAGGTTAAAGAGCCACTATAAAGCAGTACAGAAAGGTCAATGGCTTGGAAAACATCCAACAGGAGAAGACGTATTTCTTAGGCTCCTAACAAAAAGACGAGGATTTGCAATAACCACTGGGAAAAATGCAAGAGAACAATCAAACCTACTTCAAGTAAAAGCCCTCTGGAACGATTAAAGAGCAATCAGGAAACATTACAGAGAGACCATTGGCTTGGAAAAAATCCGAGGGAAGAAGTCCTATTTTTTAGGTTATTAACAAAAAGGCGAGGATTTGCAACAACCACTGGAAATCCTGAGGGAGAGCAAGGGAAACTTGCTTCAGTTACAGTGGCTGAAAAATGGAGGAAGTGGGCAGGGGGACTAGTGCCTCTAAAGGAAAAGAGGTGGCTACAGGTGGCTCCCAAAGCAAAAAAATGCAGAATATGAAGAGAAAACTCACGAGTTGGCAATCCAAGAGGAATTGGCTAAAGAAATTTCAAAACCCTCATGTGAAATCAGCTTGAAAACTAAAAACCATCTGGAAAGGTTAAAGAGTCACTATGAAGCAGTACAGAAAGGTCAATGGCTTGGAAAACATCCAACAGGAGAAGACGTATTTCTTAGGCTCTATAATGACTCAAATTTAAAAGTGTTATATTTCAAATCCAGTCATATAGTTAACTCAAAGGAAACGATCTTATAACAAACAAATATATTTTAATGAGAAAGATTACTTGCGTTCACGTTGAGATTGGTGCTGCTGGAATTACATGTTTGTTCATCTTTCAAATCCTTTCCTTAGGTAAGAAGATAAAGCTCTTCATACCATCCTATAGAGAGACCTTCCTTGGCCCATGCTTGTTACAGACAAAGAGATTCCCATGTGGCTTGTGTCCAGGAAGTCTCCCCAAGACCTTTGGAACTCCTCCCACTGACCCATCCACATACCTAGCATTTAACCCAATAACTGCCAGGCCTTCCAACATAGAGCTGGGCTATAGAGCTATATGGGTCATAGAGCTCTATGGGCCAGAACACTCCCCGCTTGGAAATTTATATTTCCACTATTAAAATAGTAAAAACGTAGCATCAAGGCATGCAATACTCATTGTGGTTAACTTGTGACTAACTAGGTAAAAACTTGGTATCAAAATGCATAACTATAAGGTAAACATAAAACATGCACAATTATGAAAAAGGCAAGTGTTACATCAAACAATGCATAAGACAATACATAATTTGAGGTTTAATCTTCTGGTTCAGTCTTTCTCAGCAAGGACCAAATTGGTGATCAGCCTGGTACAAGTGTCTTTGAGTCACGACCTGACTCATGTGGCTTCATGATCTGGATCTCAGCTGGGTAAACTAGTTCGTCAAGTGGGTGGGCCCGGTGCGCAGGAACCGTGGGCCAATAGTTCTGGTATGCAGTCTTGTCTCCCAACGAGACAAGGTCTTCTTCCTGTGAAGGCAACTGGAACCAAATCTGGAACAGAAAAAACTGGAACCCAAGCTTCTCGGGAATGAGGGGAACTGGATTCGCAGGATACTCAGGAACTGAAAAACCTGGAAAGACATAAACAGCTGGATCTGGAAACTCAGGAACAGCTGGGGCTGAAGAATCAAGATCAGGAACATCAGGAAACTCAGGAACAGCCGGAGCTGATCAGGAACATCAGGAAACTCAGGAACAGCCGGAGCTGAAGAAACAGAAACAACAGCTGGGACAGAAGGGTCAGGAACAGCTGGAACTGAAGAGGTTCAATTGTCTAAGCTGGTCTTCCTTAGCAACAGGACTCGGTCAGTGATTAGTCTGGTGTAGAGCTAGTTGCTTGTCGTGATTCCATAGGCAGCGTCTTAGGTTCTAGGTGTAAGGCTGCTGGGTGCCCGTCGCTGTTGCACAGGTGGCATTTCACATTAGCTGTGCAGTCCTTGGCTATGTGATCCATAGAGTCACAGCATTTGAAACATATCCTATTCTCTTTGAGTAGGGTCTTTCGGTCATCTAGGGATTTCTTCCTAAATTCTCTGCAATCATTTAGAGAGTGAGAGAACTTGTGTATCGGGCAAGTTAGGCCTTTGGTAGTTGGATGAGGGTTCGAAAGAGCGCTTCTCGGTGTTTGTTCGTCAGTTTTATACACCAAAGGTATGGTTCTGTCCGTAGCTTGGGAAGAACTTTGGTTGGGGCCGAAGTTGTCATTTGTTGGCTCGAAGTTGCTGGCATTATGATGTAGTTTTGCTTGGTCGGTCACAAATTCAGCGAGTACAGCGAAGGCGGGTGGTGCGTTAGGGTCTTGGTTCCTGTGGGTTTCTGATATTTTGGCCCATTCATCCCTTGACTGCTTTGGTAGTTTTCTAACTATGATCCTTTGCTTCTCGAACTGATCGAGGCAGGTAAGTTTCGGCATGTTGGGTTGCTCGCGAACTGAATGTAGCATCGAGAGCGTGTCTGCGAATTCCAACATCTGGGTGTGATCATTGATATTGATGTTAGGGAAGGTGTAAATGCAATCTAAGAGCGACTTTTCTGTCAGTTCATGTCCGCCATACCGCTCGTCGAGCCTTTCCCAAGCTTTGAGAAGGGCGGTGGTTGGGTTGCCTAAGTGGGCTAGTTGAGTGTTCTCTATTAATCGTGTGGAAGCCGGTCCCAGCCATGTTTTCATGTGTCCGAGCACTTCGCTCGATGTTATAGCTTCATCTTGGATGGCGGTTTGGAACGTGAGCTTCCACAATACGTAGTCCTTTCCCGGTTTATCGGGGAATTTGTGTACACCCTTGGATGCCAGATCTAGTTTGCTTCTGTAAAGTCTCATAGGGGTGTAACCGGGTGGCGATGGTACCTCGCTTCCAGGAGTGGGGGCGTGTGCCATGTTTGGCTGGTAACTTCCTTCGGCGTACTGGTGGCTGGGTGTATTTTGCAATGTCACGTGCAAGGGACCTTGTTGGCTTGGTCTGAACTCTGCTGCTCTGGCATTGAGCTGAGGGAGCCCAGGCTCTTGCTTGCTCATGTGTTGGAAGGTCTGTGTTTCTGATAGAGTGTAGCTAGCTTCCTGGTAGGCTGTCAGAGCTGATGTTCGAGGCTGTCTTCTGTGGTCAGGAGTGGTGGCAGTTCCTTGGGGCGCTTCCTCCTGTTGGTGCAGCAGGGACTCTAGTGACTCTAGCGTGGCTCTAACTCTTTCAATCTCTTCCCTGAGCAACGGCTGGTGCTGCTGTAGGGCTGTTGGCGCTATAAGTGGATCCATCCGATTGCCATTAGTGGTATGGTTTGGTGGGTTCTGTGGGGTAATAACGGTGGGAAGATCTTGGGGCACTCCCCGCTGTGCAATTGTCGCCGTTGCTGGGGTAATAATGGTGGAAAGATCTTGTGGCCCTCCCCGCTGTGCAGTCATTGCCATTGGTGGTAATCCCATCAGGTTTGATGTGGCAACAACGGCGGGAGGATCTCGTGGCCTAGGTGTCGTGACATCAACTCTGCAGTTGACCAGCGAATCAGGTCGTTGAGATTCCTCTGTTCATCTACTCGGTCTTGGGGGGCTTGTGGCTGGCTGTGGTGCTCTCATCTGTGCATTCTGGAATGTGCTTTGGTTGTCCACATAGGTCTGTACGTGGCTACGACGCTCTTCGTTTTCCAGTTGTTGTCTGTCTGGCAAGAAAGTGGTGTACTGGAGTATTTTCTGAAGGCCTTCCGCTCTAGCCATTTTGTCTGCCATAATTTTTTGGCATTGAGTAAGTTCAAGTTCGTTTTGGGCGTCCTTTCTTTTGGCTGCTATAGCCTTTAGCTTGGCCTCTATTTCAGCTTCCTCAAGTTCTATGGCCGACAACTCCTTCTTTTTCTGCCTCTCCTCTTGTGCCACACGAAAGACAGCTTCAGCGGCTTTAGCATCTAAGATTATTTGCTCTTCTTGTGAAATTCTGGATGCTCGGCTGCGGTGGGAGGATGCCTTCGAAAGGCGGGAGGCGCCTGTGACATGTGATTGTTGGGACACGCTAGAGTGTGCCCTGGACATGTGGCGGAAGGATGAGGCCTTTCCAGAAACCTGAGATGGATCTGCGTGCGATCGTTGGGATGGTGCATGTGAAAGGCATGAAACTTCGGACTCGGCTCTGTCAACCGGACTGCCTCTGTGGTGAGGCTCGGGCTGTGGGGAACCCTGTGAGCTTTCTAGAAACTTCTTGCGTTCCTGGTTTAATAGCTGGAGGCTTTGCATCTCGCTGTCGACACTTGGGTCTCTTAATTGTTCTTGAACGTCCTTGAGTTGCTGTTCAGAGTCCATCCATTGCACATAGGCGTCTTCCTTATCTCCTTCCACTGCGTGTGCCCATTCTGGGGAGAGTTCCTCCTTCTGTTCGTGGTAGAGTTTGTATAATCTCTCCCAGCTTCTTTCCTGGCGCCTGTGGATGGTGTGCCATTTCTCCATCAGATGTGAGTGCATGGCTTCTGTGAGCTTTCTGCATTGTCTAAGATCGTATTGACCCTGAGACGTTTTGGGCTTTGTTGAGGCTTGAGTTTCAGCCTCTGCATACTGGTCAATGTTGGCTGTGTGCAGAATCTCTCCTGGACTGACTGGTTGGGGTGTTTCAACTAGGCTAGTTAATTGAGCCCCTTTGTCCAAATCAGTAAGACACTCCTCCATGGTTAGGGTAGGTTCCGTGTCCTTCTCAGCTATTTTGAAGAGAATTTGAAGAACTTCTCTCTTTGACCACTAGGGGTCGCTACTTGTAGATCAGCTTCTGAGGTGCTGTCTGTGGGTGGATAATGCCACTGGGTGCGTTCTCTTGTGTTTGTGGGTACTTCAGTGCAGTTCACCCCTTCACCACTAGGGGTCGCTTGCTGTGGGTCAGCTACCAGGGTGCTCCGGCTTCGAGGTTCACCCTTTGTCCACTAGAGGGGCTTCTCTGGGTGCGGTTAAAGGCTTGCGTGTAGAGCTTCCTTTAACCACTAGGGGGCGTCTGGAGAAAGGCTAGCCAAATTCTTCCTATTACCACGTTACTGCTAGTGAGCCACTGAGTTGCAGGCCGGAACTCCGGGTCATCAGCTGTGATAATGAGCAAAGGCAATTGGCTCTTGCTTCCTGTCTCTCAGGCTGGAACAGCTTAGCCTTCAGCTTGAGTGAGTGAGTGAATGCTTCTGATAAGATCACTCTGTGCCCTCTGTGGGGTGTTGGTAGCTTTGGATAACTTTAAGTAGCTTGTACTTTAACTAACAGATTTGCTCTGTTGTGTGCTGAATTAATTGTGGCTGTTGTGACTCAGCTAGAAAAAAAAATTGCATGACCACCAGGGGTGCTTCTGCAATAAACCTTGCTTTTGTCTGAACTTTAGAGGCAGTCATTAAACAGTTCTTTGTTTCAGGCTGCGTGATTCACTGGCAAAGAGGGGAGGGGGAAAAGCCCAAGCTCCTTTTGGTGTTAAAATTCAAACTTTTCATGCAAGGAAACAAAGTAATTCTGAATCAGAGACAAGGCACTTTTCACTTTGAAAGTTAGCTAGCAAGCGAATTAGCATAACAAAACTTCTGAATCACTCCTTGAAAGCTGTGTTTACACAGACACGCTGGCTTTGTTTGCAGGCTTTTACAAGCATCGAGAGAATCTTTACGTCAAACTGTTGCAGCTTTGAGAGGAGAATTAATCTTTGCCAATTTACTATTTGCTTTCAAAAGATGGCACAAATTATGCCTTTATCTTCTTACTATAATGACTCAAATTTAAAAGTGTTATATTTCAAATCCAGTCATATAGTTAACTCAAAGGAAACGATCTTATAACAAACAAATATATTTTAATGAGAAAGATTACTTGCGTTCACGTTGAGATTGGTGCTGCTGGAATTACATGTTTGTTCATCTTTCAAATCCTTTCCTTAGGTAAGAAGATAAAGCTCTTCATACCATCCTATAGAGAGACCTTCCTTGGCCCATGCTTGTTACAGACAAAGAGATTCCCATGTGGCTTGTGTCCAGGAAGTCTCGCCAAGACCTTTGGAACTCCTCCCACTGACCCATCCACATACCTAGCATTTAACCCAATAACTGCCAGGCCTTCCAACATAGAGCTGGGCTATAGAGCTATATGGGTCATAGAGCTCTATGGGCCAGAACAGGCTCCTAACAAAAAGACGAGGATTTGCAAAATCCACTGGGAAAAATGCAAGAGAACAAATCAAACCTACTTCAAGTAAAAGCCCTCTGGAACGATTAAAGAGCAATCAGGAAACATTACAGAGAGACCATTGGCTTGGAACAAATCTGAGGGAAGAAGTCCTATTTTTTAGGTTATTAACAAAAAGGCGAGGATTTGCAACAACCACTGGAAATCCTGAGGGAGAGCAAGGGAAACTTGCTTCAGTTACAGTGGCTGAAAAATGGAGAAAGTGGGCAGGGGGACTAGTGCCTCTAGAGGAAAAGAGGTGGCTACAGGTGGCTCCCAAAGCAAAAAATGCAGAATATGAAGAGAAAACTCACGAGTTGGCAGTCCAAGAGGAATTGGCTAAAGAAATTTCAAAACCCTCTGGTGAAATCAGCTTGAAAACTAAAAACCATCTGGAAAGGTTAAAGAGGCACTATAAAGCAGTACAGAAAGGTCAATGGCTTGGAAAACATCCAACAGGAGAAGACGTATTTCTTAGGCTCCTAACAAAAAGACGAGGATTTGCAAAAACCACTGGGAAAAATGCAAGAGAACAAATCAAACCTACTTCAAGTAAAAGCCCTCTGGAACGATTAAAGAGCAATCAGGAAACATTACAGAGAGACCATTGGCT